CCCCTTTTCCCAGTCCGATGAAAAACGCGCGGGTCCCGCCGAGACGCTTAAATCCCATCCATTTGTCAGCTCGCCCTTGGCCACTGCCACGGGCTTTTTTGCTTCTGCATCCTCGACAACTAGAGGTCGCCAACCCACCCCCGCCCACCGTCCCAGTATCGCGGTGGAGGTCGCAGACGTTCGACGATTTTCCCTTTCCCGCGAAATGAAGGGGATAAATCACCCGCAAGACGTTATAACCTTTGCACAAAGAATTCGAATGGTCTGGCTTAAGAATTCAGCCAGGTATAAGCGTACTTTAGTACGAGACGGAGCACTGAACCCTTTACGATACCAGACGCGATAAAAATTGATTTATTCTAAGAGGAATTAGTGAGAGAAACTGCATCTATCACAAAATGAATGTTTTCTCTGTTTGCGTTCCGATTTTCTTGTTATACGTATAGCTCGCCGTTCGTTCTCCTGAAAAGGTACGGCAGATCCCCGGGAACGCCTGACCCTTTCTGATTATTTGGCGGCTGTCTTTGTCTGAGAATCCTACCCGTTCCGGAGAAAGAAGACACTAGAGAACCATTCCACCGGTTTAATGACGTATTTTAAGCCACTTTTATTCCCCGCCATTCATTCCTTTCATTACACTCGCGAAACTCGTGAACCACGCTCAATTCACCATGTTTAATACAAGTGGAATAATAATTTCCCCTCTATTGCTCGAGGATATTCTCAACGAGCCGAGTTTCCGCGTGCCAGTTAATTAGGATCGACGATATTAAATTTTCTTCCGTTTAATACTAATCACTATTATGAATTAAATAAAACGTAGAAGCTGATTAACGAGTTTCCAACGAAATAAGCTTCCGTGTAGGTAGAAAGGGTCTACTGAAAATTATGGTTGGAAAATATATGTCAGCAGCTTTTAAAGCTAAACACAATGGTTCGAACAATTTTTCAACGTCTGGTCTAAAAGCTTTCGAATGGAGGAGTCTGAACGACTGTCTAGTTTCTGCTGGACGATAATTATTTAAACCGATGTAGCCGGGATTCGAATCTGTGGTCAAAGAGAGCGTGGCGGATAGAACCGCGAAAATTAGCAACGAGTTTCATTACCGGTCGCGTGTTGCAGTGGTCAGCCGAGATGAAAGAAACTGAAACGCTGTCAGCTTGCACGTTTTTCCTTTCCGCCGCGGCAGTCTAATTAATTAAATGCACAAACCCGCCTCTCTCCTACTTACTTCTGTCATCGTTTCCCGTCAACCTTCGTTTCGGATTGAAGACGAGACCAGCTCTGGAAATTCACAGTGGAAATTCACTTATTTGCATTTACCTGAAAGCCGGGCGTCTTCGCAGACGGTTAATTGGCCTTCGTTACCAAACCCTTCTTCGGGAGTTACTCGCGATTCTGCTTGATCGTTCCCGATTTCTCTTGGTAATTAGCTAACTGGACGCCTCGCCGTGTTTGCACTGCGACACGTTAATTGGCTTCGTATCACGGTTATCTTACTTCAAAGCATTTCGTCATCGTACTGCGAAACCGATCGAGTATTCTGAAAAATCAATTCTCGTCTTTTCAATTTTACCGTCAACATCAAATGAATCGTAGTTCAGACTATTAACTCGTAAACCGGTGGCTTTTTAATCGCGTTCCCGCAAATGAGACTCTTGTCAGTTTTCATACAACGTCGAGAGTGGCCGCAACTAAGCTCATATCCGAACCCCGAGCCCTCGAGCTACGAAAAATTACATATTCAAGCTGCACACACCAGGTTGACCACTTTATCTCCGCTGGCAGCAGGCAATTACTTATCCTGGCGCAGCTCCAAACTTTATCCCAGGCTCGTAAAACGCGGCCATCGGTGGCGTCTCTTAATCCCATAAAGGGGTTGAATCGCGAGTTGCGGCCGGACAAGCCCCAGGGTTCGCGCTTTCCACCTATACGAACGTGTTCCAACTTCGCGATAAAGGCAATAAAAAAAAAAAATGCTCATCGAGAGGTTCTCTGAGTTTTAAGATATTTACATGTACCTGTAAATACCGAGATTCACAGATATTTTTAATTAGGCGTTTAAAAGCGTAGCTGGCTCGAAATTGATTAAGATTATAATTGAATATTTAATATTTAGGGGTCTGATAAAACAACGTCGCGAAGGGTAGCGAACTTATAAATTGGCCGTTCAATTTTTCAAACACTCCAGAAAGCTTAAAGAGTTAATTTCGTCCTTACTCCTTATTAATCGAGCTACTTCCACCTCGCCTACTTTCTTATAATTCTGTCTCGGATAATCCGTAGAAGGATTATTAAAAGAAATTAATAAGAAACTTTTCTAACTCTTTTTCTCGGACACTCGAAATTCACGTTATTATAAGAACACTCGTCTATATGAAAGCTCTATAAATCGCATGAAATTAGGTTTAATATCTCGTAGTCCGTGGAACAAATACGAGCCCTTCGCGTGTCTCGTGCTTGTTTCGTATCACGGTACCTAAGATATCTCCCCTGGCAGAGGAAACGGCTGACTAAATACCTCCGAGGACGAAATTTTCCGTAATTAGAGGGAAAAGCGTCCCCCTTTGATCTCCACCCCCTCGGCGGTGGAGCAAAGGGATCGGCGATCGATCGAAATAATTGCGCTCCGAAATTTCCATAACGCGCGGCTGTTGCTTTTCCTTCGGTCGGCTCGCAATTTGCCGCAATTTAACCAGCTCCCCTGTGTAATGAGAATTCCTTCGATAAATTCTCTGCGTAACTATCAATTAAGAAAATAACGGTAGCACTCACGTTCCCCTCTAAAATCAGGAGATGTCGTGGTCGTAATAATTTGTTGATAAAAACATGAGAAAATGTAACTGCATTTATGTACTTTATTATTAAACTTTCAATTATTGCAATCTTTCCTTCGAGTGTTCGCTTTTTTATATTGATTAATCAAGGAATTCAAACAACAAGAAGACGTCATATTTATATATAGAAGTGACACAGCTAACTGTCGTACTTCGTAGATATAATTTCCAATGTACTCCCACTTTTCTTTAAAAGATCATCACTTTCCAAACTTCCGGACCATTCGCTTAATTCGGGGATCGAATAAGAATTCATTAAAGGACCCCATCGTGGGGATCTTAAATAAATTAAAAGTTTACTTTTTCCGCGTATGAAGGGGGATCGACCCCACCTCTTTTCTCTAATTACCCTTCGATGATGGAACTCCTCGAGAATCTATTCGTCTTTGAGAGCTTAAACCAGCCTGGGAATTAGCTCAGGAGTTTTCAGACCTTGAATAGCGTCCGATACTTTCATGGTTGAATATTGATATTAATATTTCGCAATATCCTGCAGAGTGGCTCTGATTAAGCGAAACTTCTGCCCGCGGAGATGGTACGGTCAACACTTTTAAGATAGTTGAAGTGAATTATGCGAAATGAAACTCTTTTATTAATCCAGAATAATGAGACTGCGTTCCTTATTCCTCGCCATTTAATCTCACACTTAAGCTTTCATACTCTACTACGTTATTAGAGTTTTATATTATTTAAGTCTGATCCAAGAAAATGATATCATCTCTTGATAATACACGTTTGCCCTTATCTTTTGATAATCGATCGATGTAATGAAACATGAATCGTACGAACATAAATCATCGTATTAAGGAAGGAACAGGAATAAAAAGAGATCCAAGCCGCATTCCGTGGTTCGAGATCCTATTACCCCGGAGAGTCTATCCGGTAATTGGCTCGATTCGTACACCCATCGGCTTCCTGTTTCCCCTTCTGGCGAGCGTCGACAAATATTTTCTTCTAATATCCGTCTCCTGCCTTTGAGACGCGTGAAATTCAGTAGAATGAATCGGTAACGGTAAGACATCGACTCGCCATCGGCGGTGATACGTTTCCCAGTGTCTCCCAACCTTCTTTGAAATAATGATCTCGCGAAACAATATTTGTTAGTGAAATGATAAAATTATAACATTTATATTAGGTCTACCGGAAAGTTCTGTCCGTTTTTTTTTACAACAAATTTCGACACGTAAGCACATGTTTATTAAGCACATGTGTGCCTCTCTATTTTTAACACTTAATGTATACATACTGACGTAGCAAATTAACTAAAACAAAGTTGATTCACGTCAATCTTGTGTGAAGCCATAGTGTACCCATTGGCTATTGATAAGGTTCATTTACGCCACTGTATTTTATACGAATTTCAACAAAGAAGAAATGCTACAGAAACATGTAAAATTTTATTGAAAGTGTTTGGTGAAGGTACAGTTTCTGATAGGACATGCAGAAGATGGTTGAAAAAATTTTTTGAAGGGAAAAAAATTGAAAAATGAAGAAGATATGAAACAAGCACTAGTTGAATTTTTCGCATGAAAAGATAAAACATTTTTGAAAAATGGGATATACAAATTGCCCTCGCGCTGGCAAGAAATCATTAATAATAATGGCAATTATATTATTTAATAAAGTTTATTGATGGTAAGAAAAATTTGTATTTTGGTTTATTCTAAAAACAGTCAGGACTTTCCGGTAGACCTAATATAATAGAACGCGGAATAGTTTAACGACCTTAGTCCCAGGATTTTTATTAAAACACGTGAAAGAATTGTAATGAATACGTCAGAATAAATAAGTAATACAAGGAACAATGATTCAGTCTATTTTCTTTGGGAATCCGCAATTTGGGAACCTCGCTGAAGCTTCGTATTAAGTAGCTACAAGCTTTTTACACGTCTACTTCTCCGCTGGACCGTTCCGAGATCAAAGCACCAAAGCGGTACGTACTTCCCTTTCCTGGCTCCTCTCTGCTTTTCCCGAGAATAACTGAACTAGTCGAAAAGTCGTCCACCGTGCGCAAAATAATCGAAACATCATTGAAAGGTTCAAGGGATTGAGAAGAAAATAATGTTAGTAATTAGACAGATAATTAATATTTATTGTATAAATATGCTGTATAAATAGATAATTAATATTTATTGTATAATAATATTGATTGATTTTTTTATTTAAGCGTTCAATACAGAAAAGAAGAAGTTGAACAATTTCGATTTTGCCAGTCTCGATGAGACTCTAATATAAGATCCCGTGTTCTCTGAAATCCAATCTCTATAGTAGTAAACGTCCGAGTAAATGCCAGGATAACCCGGTCGAGCACAGCCATAGCCACCGGAAACTACGCCAGCCAACACACCGTTGCAGATCATACCGCCTCCCGAGTCACCCTGTGAAGTGTTCAAAGTCAGGATGATTTAAAAACACAAGTTCCTGTTCACATTAGAAAATTTTGCTGCTACAATATAATCCTAATTTATGTAATGAATTTCTGTAGAATTTTTTGTAAACTACGATGGTTTCGATGAAATGTGGTTTAAATCTATTTATAGTGTAAGGTTTAAGGGTGTGAAATTACTTGGCAAGCGTCTTTATGGCCATCCTCGTATCCGGCACACATCATCCCCATTGGGAAATCCGTTTGCCCCTCCCAAAGCTTCTTACATCTCTCCCTGCTTATCAACGGCAGGTCTATGTACATTAGACTATTGCTCGTTTCTTTATTATCCTGAAATCATCTCGAACGTCAACGAAGCTTCTAATGACAATTAATAATAATGATTCAGGACTTACCTCAGAGGGGTAACCCCAGCCAGCCACCTGGCAGATCGTGCCCGGCGTTGGTGTCTGAGCTGCCATTGGAATCACGTTCAGGTACGGTCCTGTTTCAAATGCCACTTTGACCTGGAAGTTTACACAGTTTTTAATTGAAGTTCGATTATTGAATTCTTGAAATAAAGAAGGAAACTATACACGAAGGAGGGCGATGTCGTTCTGGAGAGTCGCCTCGACGAAACGAGGATGAACGTAAACCTTGTCCACACCTCTGATCTGGCCATTCTCATCGTTGAGATTGATCTGTCCACCGACCAGCAGAATCGTCCAAGGTTGAAGGGTTATATCATCTCTATGACAAAATATTATTACGAATTGTATCAGAAATCAAAATCTAATTGTAATGCATATTAAATTGAATAATACAAATTCCCTTTCAAATCAAGAATAGTTATTACTCACTGTACAAGACAATGGGCTGCAGTGAGTACAAATTTTTTATCTATTAGGGACCCTCCGCAGAAGTGCTGATTGCTATAGCTCCTCCTCAGAGATATCTACGGAAATCAAATGTTCCAAGAAAACTCGTTCAAGTATAATACGAGATAGGCACGACAGAAACAACGTTATGCAATTAAACACTTGAAATCGAACAACAATGTATAAACATACTTGATAAGGGAACTGTTTTAATTCTGCTTTCGAGCCGTTAACTATGCGCCCGATCAAACCGTAGCTTGTCCAATATGCATCTTCTTCCACGAAGTTAATCTCATGTTGTCCTAAAACAAATGAAAATTAATTGTTCAACAATTAAAGCGAAAACATGTGAATTAATAAAATGTTACAATATACAATCGTTTTCTAATTAGTCTTGTATATTATTCATAATTCTATAAAGATTGTATATTAATATATATATAAAAGTGAAAAGTACATTTTCTAATTAGTCTTGTATATTATTCATAATTCTATAATGTACTTTTCACTTTTAAACTCAATTCATTGAATTCCATATGGACTGACCATACATTGCTTCATCCACTTTTCCCTTCCATCCCTTCCCTATCCAGACTTGACGAATTATATACATACGACAGAATTATAAAAACGAACAAATATTGATAATTATAAAAACCTAAATATAATTATTGTACACAGGAGATCGAGATTAGACAGTCGAATATCTGAATTTAAAGTACTTTTGATAAACTTACCGTGGACGAAGTTGGACAAAGACAGAAGAAAGATGAAAGTTAATGGAAAAATGCCTGCCATTTTCCTTCCCTTGTTTCTGCCAATTTTCACGCGTTCGTCTCTTCCTCTGTCTACCTTCCCGAGCAGTGGAAAGTAGACTGGCCGCTTTGAGAATCTGTTTATCTATCTTGCTTTTATTTATCTCTCACTTATCTATCACATATCAGATATTGTCACGAACCGTGTTAAATATTAATTGGGTTTACCAATGAGTTCATCCCCGAACAGAGAAAAAAAAACAACAATTAAATTTAATTACGCTTTCACGAAATAATCGAGTATTAAAATCGGGTATTATATTTGCCGATAAAGATTAATAAACCTAACAAATCCACCAGCAGGAAGTTTGCAAATAAAAAATCTTTTGCAATTTTATAGATGTTGTATATATGTCATAGATATTGTAAGAAAAGTGTATACTATTTTTTCCAGGTTAATCGATTACTAAAGTGCTCAGATAACGAAGCACGGAAGTCGTACTGACACGGTTATCATTATCGTTGAAATTTCAACCCAGTTTCGAGAAACAGATAAACAATCTCGAATTTCTGCGCGTGCCACTAAACGTGATCACCTTAGATTAATGTTAATGTATTTTTATCAGTCGTCGTTAAGTTCAGATAACGCCTAATTCCACAATATTGTAAATTCAAATAATTCAAAATTTCACATGTTTTCCAAGATTTAAAACGTCAGGCTCAACATTTTGTGCAATTATGAATTAGAACGAAGCTTATGATATTACATGATCTCCTGGAACTACGATGTATCGGTCAGTTCCATTAACACGAATGGCAGAGAAAATCCAGTGGAAGAAAGGTCACGAGTGGAACAGGTGGTTAACGATTGAAAAAGCGTCCGAGGCCTCGTATTAAGATCGAGCGAGTACGAATTAACTCGAGGCATGGTTCTCGATGCGAATTGCACCGATGTTACACGCAATTAATCGGCAACCGGGTGAATAAATATTCATAAAACGTTTGGAAGAGGCTACCCGTGTTCCAGCGGCAATTATCGCTCCTTATCGAACGGATTAACGAGGTCGCTGAATGAAATAACACCTCGGCACCAACCTAGTGATTACTTATTATTTATAAGACCCAGGATTACAGCAATCGCGGTGCTAAGTACACGTTCTCCGAGCTGTTCACGGACTTCACTAATTTTCTCAGATTAAAACGATAGGAACAAATCCAAATAGCTATTTTGTCTATTTATACACTGCGTGATTAATAATACGAATTATTAATATGAACGAATGATTAATAATACAATTTTTGGAAATGCCTTTTCTTCAAGTTGGAATATTATCCGCGTTAATAAAATATTGTACCGTAGACAACTCGGAGATAAAAATACATGGGAAAGACACTCAAGGTTTTGATTTTGTTAACATGTAGGGGAGGGTAACGATCCTCTCAGGGATTCAAAGGTCTGTTCGTACAAAAGAAAAACAGTCCTAACCGGATTATAATTTCCGGGTCTCCTCTCATCTTTGAGTCGGGGCCACCCTCTTCGAGAACACGAGCTTTCATCCCTCCGGGTGGGCTCCTTACGCGAATCGATAAACAAAACACGCGGAGCGTAAACATCAGCCGCGCAATATTTCCTTCGACCTACCCGCAAACACCAATCCCAGCGAGCAAATTCTCTCCGACCGGTTCTTCAAACATTCTCCCGGTTCCCTCCGATGAAACCTGATAGGATGTGTCGATGTTTACTTCCAAAAAGTTTGTCTACTTCAAAAGAAAACCTTGTCATTATTAATGTGAGGTTCAAAGAAATTCCTGATTTCCGTTTGAGTTCTCAGCTCCGTACTGGACGTAAGTATAAAGTAATCTACTCAGACAATCTCTTGTTTAAAGCGTTCAGTCGGCTAACAATTCCGATTGACGAAGTAATCTGGAATCGAACGGAATCGATTCAGGTTAATCAACTGTCGGAAGGGTTGCAAGGGTGCGTTAGACAACCGAACCGTGGCTCTCGAGATTGTACGCAGGGGTCGTACGGCGCTTGTAACCAGGGCTGCACACGGGGATGGGTAATGGTGGCTCCTATCAGTTCTGTACACTCTCTCGCTATGCGACCGCCCCCGAAAAGCCCGTCGCGAGCAACGATACTCCTAGTGAGTTACGCCGATGGTACCTGAAACTGCGGCCACCGACCACTTTGCATATTGGATCGTTCGATGGACATGCCTGGATCTCCCCTCGAAATCCCGATATTTCTCTCAGATCTCTCACCCATCTGAAGATTTTTATTTCTCACTGTATCTATTCATAAACATGCACAACTTGCAACGAGAAATTCCTTACACAATTATTATATATGTGGGGCTTAAATAAATTAAGATAGGAATAAGGATGTTTATATAAATTAAGATAGGAATAAGGATGTTTATATAAATTAAGACAGGAATAAGGATGTTTATGTTATGTGAATTAAGGATGTTTGTAACGTAAGATCGGGGCAATTGGGATGTGAATGATTTGTTTTCACAAAAACCTTCCAATCCCACATATATCTAACTTTACTTTACTCTGTGAACCATAATTTTTCAGAATCGATAATGCAGTACATGACATTTATAAATGCTATCACTGTTGAAATAAATAAAATGAATACACAGACCGTTTTAATCGTAGTATTTTATTAATCGACACGACAACAGAAGTCTAGAAACGTGTTTTTGGATATGTTAACCGTAATGGTACAGCTGGAATATGAGGTCTCGTGGACTGGTTCGCGTCGAGCCTTCGGAGTCTTACCGTCCTCCTTTCTCCAGCACTCCTTCGACCCACCGGTCCCTCCCACGGCTCTTAGACCGTGCTACCTCCTTTCGACTCCTCGCAGCCGGATCGAGGAATCATTCTCGATGGAACCGAGGATAATGTTTATGGGATATAATGATAAGGAATGCCGGCCAGCCCGGTTCACCCTTTTCCTTCGGCGTGCATCCTTCCAGCCGGCGAGTTCACGATTCAGTACGCTGCTCGCGAAACGGTATACGAGGGGCAGTCATCGATTCTGTTTTACTAGGAAACTTCGCTGCCGATTAAATCACCGTGTAATGCGATCCACTTAACTTATCTTGAGTACTGAAGAAGTGGAAGTATAATGACTGCTGCAGCGGTGAATGTTAATGACCGTGACTAGTTGTTAAGATAGGTGTATGAACTACGTAGTCGAGAGGCCTAAGGCTCCGAGAAATGACTCTCTGCCTGTTTGTATAAGAGCCGTAATATCCTCGAGTTAATTATACCTCACGTATAATGGCACGAAATATGTATATTGTAAAAAATACTTATGTTCCTAGTTAATAAAATTACGACTATAAAGTATGTACTTCCTCCGTCAGCTTTGATTTGCGATTTTTTTACAGCTCGTTTGTAACGGCACAAAATATTTAAAACGACTCTTTGCTAACCAGCGAAATTGAGTTTATAAAATAATTCCTCTATCGGCTTTAAAGTTTAAACTCCAATCATAATTTAACGAGGTCCGATTTGATCAAGCAGAAAAGAATTGCTCCGGCAGAATCGTGGCTCTGCCGGTCTAGGGGAACGGCGACCTTGACAAAGTGGCGAACTCGCTTCTATTCATCTGGTCCCTTGCGCCCGCGGCGTGGAAAGAGGAAGAAGGTAACCTTGACTGGGAGTGCGACCAGTTAAAGGGCCGTTCAAGGTCTATCAGACGACGCGACGCTAAGTTCCCCGTCGTCGTCTGGCCGGTTGTTACGCTCCGCCAAGTGGACGACGGATGGAACCAGCCAGAACGGATCCTTTTTCCGTTCCCCGGTGCGCAAACACCGTTTTACCTCGAATAACGAGCACGATGCTGCCGCCTCTTCTGCTATTCTTTTTCCTCCTCTTAATTATCGGCAACCTTCGGAAATCGATTTCCCTGCGCTTTGTTTCTGCGACAGGACGCTCCGGTGCTTTCGGTAAAATGTTCGTCGTTGAGAAAACAATTAATGAAAATTATGAAATCCACTAACAATCAGTATACAATTTTTCTTTGCAATCACAAACGAAAATCTCGTGAACCTTGTTTGCTTTGAAAAGATCGTCGCATGAAAATTGGAATAATCGAAAACGTTGCATGTGAATTTCACAAAAATTTATAAAGGAATTTTCGTTTGTCCCAATCGACACGGGATTTCGTCGGGGGGAAAAAAAGAGCGGCAGCCTGTCAGACATCAAAGTGAAAGCGAATGATGGAGGACGTTTTGCGAAGGCTAAATTTTTTATAGGTTTCGTCACACTTTCATCGGGAAGCGAGGGCCTGTCGTCGCTTTCTCCACCCACGGCGGCGCTATTCCTCCCTTCGATGAAGCGAAGTGCTCGTGACGGGTGCCACTGTGCGCCCGATCGAACCGCTTTTCCTCCGCCGGGACGAAAATTGGGTTGCGCCTTTTTCCAGTTCTGTCGTTAACACGCCACTCTTTGATAGCCGCGTGTCTCTCGATAATAAACATTCGCCGAAGTATTAGGTTGGGGAATAAGTTCATAGCGTTTTTATAATTTCTTTAATTTTACAACGATTTGTTTGCTGTTTGGCAACGGGTAAGTATTCATTCGATAGAACTCTTTCTGCTCTACAAAACTATGTTAATTGTATTTTTGAGTTATTTAATTTTTTATTAGTTTTCAGGCTTAGAAATGGAATACCCAGGAGGCAAAAATCAACATTTTCGACACCTGCTCTTCTTTGCTTTTCATCGAGGTCAAAAAGCTGCCGAAGCAGCCCGGGACATTTGCGACGTGTATGGAGAAGGTGTCATAGGCGAGTCTACAGCACGGAAATGGTTTGCAAAGTTAAAAAATGGCGACTTTAACGTCGAGGACTCGTCCCGCAGCGGAAGGCCTTCTGAATTCGATGAAGAACGTCTCAAATCACTTTTGAAGGAGAACGGTCGCCAAACCAGTCGTGAATTGGCGGAAAAAATGAACTGCGATCATAAAACGATTCTATAATTGATTAACTTATTGATATAATTATTGTTTTTTGTTTAAATAAAAGTCTTCGGTAAAAACGCTACGAACTTATTTCCCAACCCAATACATCCAACCACTGCGATATTCAGCTTTTGATATTCTGTATATTATTGTGCGTCATGCAGATTCCATCAGCTTTTCGCATTTTTTATTTTGTAAAAAATGTTCACACCTTCTAACAAAATAAAAATCTAACTTATAATCGTTTTGCTTGGAGCCTCCAAGGTATTGGAAATAATTTCGTCTTTCGTCGAATTTCGTTCGCCGGAGCGGTGGTTGGGATGGAACAAGCAGAAGAAGAATAAAAGGCAGACAACCACAGGATCCAATCCTGCCTGTGCGTCATCGAGTCGGCTCGCGGGCTTAAACTCCTGCTGTTCGTGTTACGTAACCGAGAGCCCGTGACCTCGATCCCGAGGATAGCAGCGAGCGAGTAGAACCAGACGGCACAGTCAGCCTCCCACAGACAAAACAACCACCTTCGGGCACGACCGCGACCTTTTTGCCGGCTCCTGGTACAGTCGCTCGAACAAGGCATCAGAAACTCGTCGAGCAACGAATGTATTTCCACGATACAATTTGAAAAATACATTAATTTTCATGAATTTCCTGTATATTTTCTTTTCCTGGTTTGAGATTTTTCATTTTAAAAATGATATGAAATTCATGAGTCATTCTGTTTGGAATAAAAATCGCGTAGATGGTCAAAAATAAGAATCCCGTACGATATACACCGCAGATATCTTTTACGAACAAAGAGAGGAGATAATTTTTTTAGTGGATTAAGTTCTTACGTATCTGTTTCTGTAAAAAAAAGTAAAAATGCGAACAGGACGAGGCTGGGCGTTGAACGCCCGTAAATAAGAGTTTCCCTCGCGAGCACGAGAAGCTAATGGAGGCTGATTGTGAATTATGGCAGGCTCAGCGAGTGCTCCGCATAGTTTACAGCAGGCGAGGCCAGGCGACGAAACGGCGAGTGATTGTAAATTATTGGCAGTTTCGAGCGACTTTGTCAACCAAACGAGGCGACGCTCGATTATTGTTAAAACAATCAAATGTACGATCTTATAATTAGAAATCGAATAAGTTTTACACAGATATCTGTAGACGCTACAGTCTTATTATCAGTTTATAACATTTCCCACTCATTTGATTAGAGTATCTCTGACAGCTCTAATGCAAGAGCAGCAACTCACAAGTTCTAAACAAGATCAGTGCCAAAAATCTGCAGATCAACAAGCTTATATTTAGTTTAGAACACTTTTCAATCACTTTGTTATTATAGCAACTCTGACAGGCCTAAGATCAATGCCACAGCGACGACTCTAGAAGTTCTAAACGAGATCAGTGCCAAAAATCTGCAGATCAACAATCTTATGTTTAGTTTAGAACACTTCTCATTCATTTTATTATAGTAACTCTGACAATTTTAACAGACCAATGCCATAACACCAGCTCTACAAATTCTAACCGAGATCAGTGCCAAAACTCTGAAGACACAAACTTATATTTAGCATACGTCCCATTCATTTTATTATATCAAGCAAAATGTTGGATGCGACGAAATGAATTTTACTGAAAACAGATGATCGCTTTTAGAGCTCAGACAGAGGGTGAAAGGCTAGGATGCGGGCGTTTTTATTGCGAGCTCCTCGAAAACGCGTAACGTTGCCCGCGACCATAAGTGCGCGACTCGCGAAACGATCCGGCCGAGTAATCTTCTTTAATGCGAATCGCCGGCGGACGTGACGCGAACAATGGAACCCGATCCGTCGAATCGAATCTTTCATCGCTTCGCCAGGATCGGCAATCGAACTTATTGTGTGAGAGAAAGGCACTGGTGATTAAGCCTCAGTCCCCCGCTGCCCTAATTAATCTTATAAAAGATTCAGGTAAATCATTGTGCGGCAGAATGTGACTATCTTCATAAGTTCATGTGCGAAGCATATGACATTGAACAGAAATTATCGCTTCGAGTATCTGAATATCAAATGAAATATGAGAAGTAATATACATTTGCATTCTGCAAGTCTGATCAATAAAACAATGCGAAATACGACATCCATTTGTTAAATAAATAAAAATGATACTTGGTAAATTTAAAATACTGAACGCTCGATGTTCACTCGATTGAATTTAAAGAAAGGATACGTAGCAGCATTTGTCTTGTTATCGAGGCAGGTGTTCGACCACTGACATGGTTCGGCGATCAGTGTCCGCTTATCAATCGACGGTTATCGATTAAACCGCGGGCCTTCGGCCCGGGTACACGTGACGCGGTAAACGCGTGAATAATCGTGGAAAAGATGGTGATCGATAGCGCGGAGTCGCGTGATGAATGCACGATTCCACGCGTCCCGGCCGTCTGTCAACAGTTTGAATAACTCAATCCGTTAAGGTGTACCGATCCATCAGACCCGAACGCGGTTATGATTCACGGTCAACTTGCCGCGGTGCAGAATACACTTCTTGGATCGAGTATTTATCAATCTGAAGAGAAATTGAGATCTTCCGCAGTTTTCAGAAGGAATCCCAAGCATGTTGCTCGGTCCGATGTTAAATGTTCTAATTATAGAATCGAACGTTTCTACGGCCGTCTGTTTAAAACTCATTCATCTACGTGAATGAAAAACTTCGAATCAATCGACCGAGTTCGAAGCTCGTACTTACCGTTTCAATAACGTCGGCAAGTTCTGGCAACGATATTTCTTCATATCCGAAGTTGCCCAAAAAAGGCGAAAGATGATTGATTGCCCATGACGCAACAGGCGTCCAGAAAATTATTAAGGAGGATGTTGCAAAAGCAAAACGAATTTCAGGCAGTGGGCGACGGGTGAAAGCGTAGCAGGTGCGTCGAAAAATCGCTGGCTGAGCAGGTAGGCAGATGATATCGGCTCGGTGTAGATCCGATCGGGACGAGCAACAAAGAGGAGAAAGTTCGGTTCAGGGGTGAACGAACTGGTTTTTCGTACACGAGTTTTCGGGTGCACGCAACCGCGTGCAATAATGCACCGTGTTTCCTGCCGTCCTCCTTCATCTCTTTTTGTTCTTTCCCATCGCTTCCTCTTCGATCCTCGAGGAATCAGAGTGTGACGCGTCCGGTCGCAATTAATGGCGAAACGTAAAATGGTTAATTATTACCATTATACCAAGACTTCCTCGTTTCTTGCGAATGATTCATCATTATTGAACCAGACATCGTGCTTAGTTAAGCATAATTTCAACATATTATAGAATTATCTATTTCTTAATTCCTATCTATTCTAATTCATATCTATTTATTTATTATTATAGTATTTGACAAATGATCATTGTTTCTTCGAAACAAATGTCGAATCTACATTTCACCAATGAAAGCACTCCTCACTTTACTCAATAGTTCATTTTTCAGAATATAAAACACGACGCGTTAACGAACTGACAATAAACGTAGAAGGCAATACGTGTTTGCGTCCGCCTGTGTGGCTCGTGTCACTTCGCACTGACAAGGATGACTGGCGTTTAAGACTTTAAAAACCGCGAGTGTTCTTTTCGGAACGAGGTGACAGCTGCGTCCGGCAGAAGGTGTTCGCAAACGCTCGGTGCGGTCGGCTACGATGTTGAGAGGATCGCGAATCGCGTAGTGCAGGTGCGGCCGCAATGCAGCCGGGCCGTAGCACATGCCATTAACGTGCAGACCGCATCCATGGCGATCCCATTCCCCCGTGCCAAACGACAATGCACACAGACCCCTACAATATCGCGGAATACCTTCTATAATGCAACGACCGTTTGCCAGGGGAGACCCAATCGGCTCTGGGATTATGAAAGTACAATGATTCCCTTTAACAGGTTCTATGCGTTTGTCCATTTAAAATTTTTCTTCAAATTCTTGTTCACATGCGATCTCGCATGAGTTAAGAATATCTATATAGCCCTTTGTACTCGAGCGGTGCCGCTATGGCGCCCGGCACGAAAACTAATTGCAAATTGTAATATTTAACAGATTTTGTTGTATTCAATAAAAATGAAAAAATTGGTAAAATTTTATTATTTATATACGTTTTTTTGGGTATAAAATGATTTAAAGTACACCAATATACCTCACTTTGCGTCGTGGTTACATTCCAAAAAAACACGACGCAAATTGAAACGACGCAAAGCGAGGTATTGGTGTACCTCTAAAGTTCTTCTCTAAATAGCCGTTGCTGGTTCGCCCGAGCGCAAGAGGCCTCGAGTGCAAAAGGGCTAGATTTTACGCAAATTGTACCAAGTCTTGTATAGAAAGAATCCAATGAAATTACAACGACGATTCTCTCTAACAAGTTTCATGTGTTTGTTCGTTTAATCCAATGAAATTATGAACACGTTGAAAATCGCTTCATTGACTCCCGTTCGTCTCAACTAACTCAAGCGATGGTAAATCTGGGCGAGTGCGAAAGTATCGCCGTTCACTTTTCTCGGATTTATCGGGGAAAATCGGTGGAAAGCGACTTCGAACGATGGTAGATTCGTCTTAATTCGTGTAGGAAGGCGGTCGATCCTCGTTGTGGGGATTACCCGTCGCGGAAAAGCTCTGGCAAATTTATCGTCGAAGACTTCGTTAGCGAGCCGGTGCAAATGAAAACTTATGCCAACGCCGGGAATCCTTGCGCTATTGCGCCGGGGTTACGATCATCGGACCCTCCTTCTCTCTCCGAGGTTTAAATTGCTTTCCGCGCTGATTTATCGGCGCCCTACCGGATACCGCCGGCTCTAAATCAATTTTACCCGGCCTGCTTTCAAACCGGTGTCTCAGATCGATCTTCTCGCTAAGTGATCCACCACTCTGATCTCACTATTAGAAACGGCACTGTTCTTGCAGTTTCACTCGTTCTTTTCCCAGTTTCAAATTAAATTAATGCGAGTGAATAAAAAGGATAATAAATTGTATAAGAACGATTTATCCTTGAGAGGCCATCCAGAAGTTATTGACGGGGATAAGGGAAATAGTGAAGGCGGAATGTCATCGAGATCGGAGTAATTCGCGAAACACGGGTCCCATCGAGACGGAATAAGAGCCGGTAAATCAGAAAAGTTCCGGGAAAGCCGCGGTAGTCAGAGTGAAATTATATTTACCCCTGGACCGCAGGGGATATATTATTATTTTCGACGAGGCACTTGCTAGGATTCCGTGGATACCGAATCCGTACTTATTCACTGGGGATGGAAATTCGTGATTCGATACCTATTTTTCTCATATCTCGGGTTTCGTTCGATCATCATCCCGTGCAACCGTTTTCATGAAAGTTATTAGAGAAACAAGATTTATTATCATCCCCTTTACGCATACTTTAGGTAGAATTAATAACGCGAAAATACGGAATGATCTCCCATTCTTTAATGAAGCTTTTAATAACTGGTTCATTTTTAATTGAAATTCTTGAGTAAATTTTGAGCGGTAGTGTACACCGGCCTTGGTGGCTGTGTTAATTACTCGGCTCGTCGGTATTGAGATTAATGACATCGGTACGAATTTTATGCGAGGATGGGTTTATTGGTTACGTCGGTGTGCTCGTGAGCACGGTCGGTGTTAATTGGTACAGACGATCCGGAGCGGGCGTTGCCATTCGGTTAACCAAAGCTTCGCGTTCGCCTCTAGACGGGATCAGAGATTGCTGCCCACGAATCCGCCGATCGAGCCATCTGTTCATCCTTTGATTGACCGTTGTCTCAATCCACTTGTTCATCGTATCGCCGTATATTCCATCTAAACCGTCACATCTGCAATTCAGAAACAGACAAACGAATTCGGAATTTTTTAAAGCAATTAAACAGACACAGACACTAAAATATTTTTCAATACACGGTCTTTGTATGTATTTAATGTAAGCTGGAAATTGGTGCATCAAATAAAGATTGGTGAGATCGTTTTAAGTGGCTGGAATCGAATCGGTGAACCAGACGAAAGGAATCGTCTGGAGGATTCTTTTGTGTACGAGAGAGAAGTGTAACGTTACTCCGTGTTACGAGCACTCGGCCAATCAGGATTACGTTACACAGTTTTATTGGTTTATATCGAGTGGCTCCGACGCGGAAGACTTTCTTTCTGCTTGTTACCCATTTGCGGTAAGTAATTTCGTTTCGTGTTACTACGTGTCCGATCCGTATCGGTCGCGAACTACTTTAAGGGAGTTTACGGCGAGAATCGATTGAACTCCTGAACTGATTCCACCCGCAATCCTTCTGTCGACGCCTCGATACTTGGACGATTTTATCAGCTTCGGCCAAAATAAAATACCACAGCTCATCTTGACGTAATTATAAAT